GTTCGCTGCATAGGCAATGCTGCGTCTGCTACCAGCGCCTGAGCAACGCCCAGCATGCGTACCGACGTTGCTTCTCTTCGAGTTGAGGAACGATGTTGTCATCGATCTTGTGGAACCTAATGCGACAAGCAGATCACCCCTTTTTTGTCCTCTATCTTCGCAACAATGCTTTTACTAAGAATTCTGTATATGGTAGAGAGCTGGGGCTATAATTCGAGCTTCAAGGTTTATTTTTACGGTATTGTTTTTGTGACGGTAATTAACTCATGATTGATCAGACGAGTAGACCGATTGGAAGGCCCACATGATTTATTAGTGGACCACATATAAATCAGGATTTAAGCAGAGAGATCTGATAGACCAATCACTTTCGAATCATCCTCCTTCCACACAAGTCGTCATCATTCGGTCCAGATTACAAGAGCAGAATTTCTTTGCAAAACCTTAGGCATCAGTTTCAGCATATCTACGTATCAGCAGAGTAGATGCGGCTAACTTCTTTGATCCACCTTATGGCGCCGCCAGGTGACTAGAAGATATAGGCCCCCTCGCCATTCTCAGCCACGTTTTGGTATGTGTTGCAGCGCAGTTGGAATACGATGTTGCTTGCCTATATATAGCATTCCACGGCACGACGGCTGAGATCGATTCTCGCGTGACACCACAAATGCCACACCGACTAAATAGAAAGTGTGCCGCGCGAATAGCAAGCCCACATCGCAAAGTGAAGTCTTTTATACTTGTCTATTGTATGTCAGTCGGAATTTGAAATCTGGTGGCGTCTGGCTTCTGTACCTTACACCCTAGTGTATGGTGTGAGTATAGATATTCAAACAGGTTGTTTAAATGGAGTACGCAAAGTAAGACGCGCGAAAAGAATTAATGAATAGATGTCTTTATTGTGCGTTGTAATGGCTTGTAGGCACCCTGTTAAGATGTAACTGAGCACTGGGCGAGAGAACGAAGCTTAAAGAACTTAAAAGAAGTCTACACTGCAAAGTGAAGACGACTTGTGTAGGAGAAGGAATATTTGGAAGTGAGTTTATTTGTGGGTTCAAAGCTACCTGAATTGTCTCTGCACTGATTTATATGTTGTCCACATATGAATCATGAATCATAAATCATGTAGGTCATCCAATCATCCTATGCGTCTAATTATTGGTAAAAACTCACCGTAATTACGCGGGATCGACTTGGACAGGTTTACGGTTTCCATGGTAGCTGATAACAGCACCTCAACCGTTAACCCGCAATGCGCCCCCTCAATGCAAACACGCGTGTATGCCGAGCGCTGCCGTCAAGTCCTTGTGACGCGGTCCTGGCAGTCCCTTGGTCATGATGTCCGCCAACATAATCGTAGTCTCACAGTAATTTAAAGTGACATCACCACGCTTGACTTCATCACGAATGTGATGGTACTTGATGTCGATGTGCTTGGCCCGACCATGGTTCACAGGATTGTTCGTCATCTTGATGCACGATTGGTTATCTTCCATGATCTTGAGCTCGGGTCCACTTGTCCTCTGCGGCATCCAGAATCTCGCACAGCAATCGATGCACCCACTTGCCTTCTTGAATCGTCAGACTTAGTGCAATGTACTCAGCTTCATTGTTGACAGTGACATACTTTACTGCTTTATGCTTCCCCAGCTCACCGGAGCACCCATCAGGATGAACGCATATCCCGAAGTCGACTTGCGGTCTGCATGGTCGCCGGCCCAGTCTGCATCCGAGTAGCCGCAGAAGTCTATCTTGTCATCAGACTTGAAACAGATGCCGTGCGGCTTAGTCCCTTGAAAGTATCGCAAAATGCGCTTGACCGCCATCCGATGCTCGACTTGGGGGTTTTCCACGAAGCACGAAACGTAACTCACAGCAAAGGCAATGTCCGGTAGTGTCGCGGTCATCAAGTGCATTAAAGCGCCTACAGCTTCATGAAACGGGGCGTCGATTTTGGTTGTGTTGACGGTCATCGGTTTCCTACCAGTATTAGTAACCGTGACCGGTCCAATCCGAACCGCCTGTTCAGCTTCGTATTTACGACGTAGTTCTTACGGTAATTACCATAGTTGATTAGACGCGTAGGATGATGAGACGCTTCACATGATTTATATGTGCACCACATATAAATCATGTAGTAAGTAGCAAGCCCCGATAATCAATCACTTTCGAATTCTCCTTCTGCCGAGCAAGTCTTCTCTGCTCCGCTTCTCGAGCCTCTTCGCTCCCTCCGGTCTCTTCCGGTCTTCTCGTCACTCCCGTGTCATACCTTCAACAACTAGTAAGGGCGAAGTCAGGGAATGACGTCATTGGATGACGTCAGCGGAATGACATCATTGCATGACGTCAGTGGATGACGTCACTGCGAATAATAGGCTTAGAGGTAGTATTCAAAGTTGCGAACTTAGTGCCTATTGTAAATGCATTTTCACTGTGCGTTTTGCACTCGGACCAAGAAGTCTTAAGTTCTTCAAGGTTTACGGTTTCCACGGTAGCTGATAATAGTACCTTAACCGTCAACCCGCAACAGTAATGATCACCTAAGCTGCGTCTTAAGCATGCATCATGATAGTTTCGTTCGCTGCATAGGCAATGCTGCACGTCTACCAGCGCCTGAGCAACGCCCAGCACGCGTACCGACGTTGCTTCTCTTCGAGTTGAGGAACGATGTTGTCATCGATCTTGTGGAGACTGTGCGACAAGCAGATCACCCCTTTTTGTCCTCCATCTTCGCAACAATGCTTTTACTAAGAATTCTGTATATGGTAGAGAGCTGGGGCTATAATTCGAGCTTCAAGGTTTATTTTTTACGGTATTGTTTTTGTGACGGTAATTAACTCATGATTGATCAGACGAGTAGACCGATTGGAAGGCCCACATGATTTATTAGTGGACCACATATAAATCAGGATTTAAGCAGAGAGAGATCCGATAGACCAATCACTTTCGAATCATCCTCCTTCCACACAAGTCGTCATCATTCGGTCCAGATTACAAGAGCAGAATTTCTTTGCAAAAGCTTAGGCATCAGTTTCAGCATATCTACGTATCAGCAGAGCAGATGCGGCTAACTTCTTTGATCCACCTTATGGCGCCGCCAGGTGACTAGAAGATATAGGCCCCCTCGCCATTCTCAGCCACGTTTTGGTATGTGTTGCAGCGCAGTTGGAATACGATGTTGCTTGCCTATATATATCATTCCACGGCACGACGGCTGAGAACGATTCTCGCGTGACACCACAAATGCCACACCGACTAAATAGAAAGTGTGCCGCGCGAATAGCAAGCCCACATCGCAAAGTGAAGTCTTTTATACTTGTCTATTGTATGTCAGTCGGAATTTGAAATCTGGTGGCGTCTGGCTTTGTACCTTACACCCTAGTGTATGGTGTGAGTATAGATATTCAAACAGGTTGTTTAAATGGAGTACGCAAAGTAAGACGCGCGAAAAGAATCAATGAATAGATGTCTTTATTGTGCGTTGTAATGGCTTGTAGGCACCCTGTTAAGATGTAACGAGCACTGGGCGAGAGAACGAAGCTTAAAGAACTTAAAAGAAGTCTACACTGCAAAGTGAAGACGACTTGTGTAGGAGAAGGAATATTTGAAAGTGAGTTTATTGTGGGTTCAAAGCTACCTGAATTGTCTCTGCACTGATTTATATGTTGTCCACATATGAATCATGAATCATAAATCATGTAGGTCATCCGATCATCCTTTGCATCTAATTATTGGTAAAAACTCACCGTAATTACGCGGGATCGACTTGGACAGGTTTACGGTTTCCATGGTAGCTGATAACAGCACCTCAACCGTTAACCCACAATGCGCCCCCTCAATGCAAACACGCGTGTATGCCGAGCGCTGCCGTCAAGTCCTTGTGACGCGGTCCTGGCAGTCCCTTGGTCATGATGTCCGCCAACATAATCGTAGTCTCACAGTAATTTAAAGTGACATCACCACGCTCGACTTCATCACGAATGTGATGGTACTTGATGTCGATGTGCTTGGCCCGACCATGGTTCACAGGATTGTTCGTCATCTTGATGCACGATTGGTTATCTTCCATGATCTTGAGCTCGGGTCCAGACTTGTACTCTGTGGCATCCAGAATCTCGCACATGCACCCACTTGCCTTCTTGAATCGTCAGACTTAGTGCAATGTACTCAGCTTCATTTGTTGACAGCGACACACTTTACTGCTTTTTGCTTCCCCAGCTCACCGGAGCACCCATCAGGATGAACGCATATCCCGAAGTCGACTTGCGGTCTGCATGGTCGCCGGCCCAGTCTGCATCCGAGTAGCCGCAGAAGTCTATCTTGTCATCAGACTTGAAACAGATGCCGTGCGACTTAGTCCCTTGAAAGTATCGCAAAATGCGCTTGACCGCCATCCGATGCTCGACTTGGGGGTTTTCCACGAAGCACGAAACGTAACTCACAGCAAAAGCAATGTCCGGTAGTGTCGCGGTCATCAAGTGCATTAAAGCGCCTACAGCTTCATGAAACGGGGCGTCGATTTTGGTTGTGTTGACGGTCATCGGTTTCCTACCAGTATTAGTAACCGTGACCGGTCCAATCCGAACCGCCTGTTTAGCTTCGTATTTACGACGTAGTTCTTACGGTAATTACCATAGTTGATTAGACGCGTAGGATGATGAGACGCTTCACATGATTTTTATGTGCACCACATATAAATCATGTAGTAAGTAGCAAGCCCCGATAATCAATCACTTTCGAATTCTCCTTCTGCCGAGCAAGTCTTCTCTGCTCCGCTTCTCAAGCCTCTTCGCTCCCTCCGGTCTCTTCCGGTCTTCTCGTCACTCTCGTGTCATACCTTCAACAACTAGTAAGGGCGAAGTCAGGGAATGACGTCATTGGATGACGTCAGTGGAATGACATCATTGCATGACGTCAGTGGATGACGTCACTGCGAATAATAGGCTTGGAGGTAGTATTCAAAGTTGCGAACTTAGTACCTATTGTAAATACATATTCACTTTGCGTTTTGCACTCGGACCAAGAAGTCTAAAGTTCTTCAAGGTTTACGGTCTCCACGGTAGCTGATAATAGTACCTTAACCGTCAACCCACAACAGTAATGATCACCTAAGCTGCGTCTTAAGCATGCATCATGATAGTTTCGTTCGCTGCATAGGCAATGCTGCACGTCTACCAGCGCCTGAGCAACGCCCAGCACGCGTACCGACGTTGCTTCTCTTCGAGTTGAGGAACGATGTTGTCATCGATCTTGTGGAGACTGTGCGACAAGCAGATCACCCCTTTTTTGTCCTCCATCTTCGCAACAATGCTTTTACTAAGAAATCTGTATATGGTAGAGAGCTGGGGCTATAATTCGAGCTTCAAGGTTTATTTTTACGGTATTGTTTTTGTGACGGTAATTAACTCATGATTGATCAGACGAGTAGACCGATTGGAAGGCCCACATGATTTATTAGTGGACCACATATAAATCAGGATTTAAGCAGAGAGAGATCCGATAGACCAATCACTTTCGAATCATCCTCCTTCCACACAAGTCGTCATCATTCGGTCCAGATTACAAGAGCAGAATTTCTTTGCAAAACCTTAGGCATCAGTTTCAGCATATCTACGTATCAGCAGAGTAGATGCGGCTAACTTCTTTGATCCACCTTATGGCGCCGCCAGGTGACTAGAAGATATAGGCCCCCTCGCCATTCTCAGCCACGTTTTGGTATGTGTTGCAGCGCAGTTGGAATACGATGTTGCTTGCCTATATATAGCATTCCACGGCACGACGGCTGAGATCGATTCTCGCGTGACACCACAAATGCCACACCGACTAAATAGAAAGTGTGCCGCGCGAATAGCAAGCCCACATCGCAAAGTGAAGTCTTTTATACTTGTCTATTGTATGTCAGTCGGAATTTGAAATCTGGTGGCGTCTGGCTTTGTACCTTACACCCTAGTGTATGGTGTGAGTATAGATATTCAAACAGGTTGTTTAAATGGAGTACGCAAAGTAAGACGCGCGAAAAGAATCAATGAGTAGATGTCTTTTTGTGCGTTGTAATGGCTTGTAGGCACCCTGTTAAGATGTAACGAGCACTGGGCGAGAGAACGAAGCTTAAAGAACTTAAAAGAAGTCTACACTGCAAAGTGAAGACGACTTGTGTAGGAGAAGGAATATTTGGAAGTGAGTTTATTTGTGGGTTCAAAGCTACCTGAATTGTCTCTGCACTGATCTATAGGTTGTCCACATATGAATCATGAATCATAAATCGTGTAGGTCATCTAATCATCCTATGCGTCTAATTATTGGTAAAAACTCACCGTAATTACGCGGGATCGACTTGGACAGGTTTACGGTTTCCATGGTAGCTGATAACAGCACCTCAACCGTTAACCCACAATGCGCCCCCTCAATGCAAACACGCGTGTATGCCGAGCGCTGCCGTCAAGTCCTTGTGACGCGGTCCTGGCAGTCCCTTGGTCATGATGTCCGCCAACATAATCGTATTCTCACAGTAATTTAAAGTGACATCACCACGCTTGACTTCATCACGATTGTGATGGTACTTGATGTCGATGTGCTTGGCCCGACCATGGTTCACAGGATTGTTCGTCATCTTGATGCACGATTGGTTATCTTCCATGATCTTGAGCTCGGGTCCAGACTTTACTCTGCGGCATCCAGAATCTCGCACATGCACCCACTTGCCTTCTTGAATCGTCAGACTTAGTGCAATGTACTCAGCTTCATTTGTTGACAGTGACACACTTGACTGCTTTTTGCTTCCCCAGCTCAACGGAGCACCCATCAGGATGAACGCATATCCCGAAGTCGACTTGCGGTCTGCATGGTCGCCGGCCCAGTCTGCATCCGAGTAGCCGCAGAAGTCTATCTTGTCATCAGACTTGAAACAGATGCCGTGCGACTTAGTCCCTTGAAAGTATCGCAAAATGCGCTTGACCGCCATCCGATGCTCGACTTGGGGGTTTTCCACGAAGCACGAAACGTAACTCACAGCAAAGGCAATGTCCGGTAGTGTCGCGGTCATCAAGTGCATTAAAGCGCCTACAGCTTCATGAAACGGGGCGTCGATTTTGGTTGTGTTGACGGTCATCGGTTTCCTACCAGTATTAGTAACCGTGACCGGTCCAATCCGAACCGCCTGTTCAGCTTCGTATTTACGACGTAGTTCTTACGGTAATTACCATAGTTGATTAGACGCGTAGGATGATGAGACGCTTCACATGATTTATATGTGCACCACATATAAATCATGTAGTAAGTAGCAAGCCCCGATAATCAATCACTTTCGAATTCTCCTTCTGCCGAGCAAGTCTTCTCTGCTCCGCTTCTCGAGCCTCTTCGCTCCCTCCGGTCTCTTCCGGTCTTCTCGTCACTCCCGTGTCATACCTTCAACAACTAGTAAGGGCGAAGTCAGGGAATGACGTCATTGGATGACGTCAGCGGAATGACATCATTGCATGACGTCAGTGGATGACGTCACTGCGAATAATAGGCTTAGAGGTAGTATTCAAAGTTGCGAACTTAGTGCCTATTGTAAATACATATTCACTTTGCGTTTTGCACTCGGACCAAGAAGTCTAAAGTTCTTCAAGGTTTACGGTTTCCACGGTAGCTGATAATAGTACCTTAACCGTCAACCCACAACAGTAATGATCACCTAAGCTGCGTCTTAAGTATGCATCATGATAGTTTCGTTCGCTGCATAGGCAATGCTGCACGTCTACCAGCGCCTGAGCAACGCCCAGCACGCGTACCGACGTTGCTTCTCTTCTAGTTGAGGAACGATGTTGTCATCGATCTTGTGGAGACTGTGCGACAAGCAGATCACCCCTTTTTTGTCCTCCGTCTTCGCAACAATGCTTTTACTAAGAATTCTGTATATGGTAGAGAGCTGGGGCTATAATTCGAGCTTCAAGGTTTATTTTTACGGTATTGTTTTTGTGACGGTAATTAACTCATGATTGATCAGACGAGTAGACCGATTGGAAGGCCCACATGATTTATTAGTGGACCACATATAAATCAGGATTTAAGCAGAGAGAGATCCGATAGACCAATCACTTTCGAATCATCCTCCTTCCACACAAGTCGTCATCATTCGGTCCAGATTACAAGAGCAGAATTTCTTTGCAAAACCTTAGGCATCAGTTTCAGCATATCTACGTATCAGCAGAGTAGATGCGGCTAACTTCTTTGATCCACCTTATGGCGCCGCCAGGTGACTAGAAGATATAGGCCCCCTCGCCATTCTCAGCCACGTTTTGGTATGTGTTGCAGCGCAGTTGGAATACGATGTTGCTTGCCTATATATAGCATTCCACGGCACGACGGCTGAGATCGATTCTCGCGTGACACCACAAATGCCACACCGACTAAATAGAAAGTGTGCCGCGCGAATAGCAAGCCCACATCGCAAAGTGAAGTCTTTTATACTTGTCTATTGTATGTCAGTCGGAATTTGAAATCTGGTGGCGTCTGGCTTTGTACCTTACACCCTAGTGTATGGTGTGAGTATAGATATTCAAACAGGTTGTTTAAATGGAGTACGCAAAGTAAGACGCGCGAAAAGAATTAATGAATAGATGTCTTTATTGTGCGTTGTAATGGCTTGTAGGCACCCTGTTAAGATGTAACGAGCACTGGGCGAGAGAACGAAGCTTAAAGAACTTAAAAGAAGTCTACACTGCAAAGTGAAGACGACTTGTGTAGGAGAAGGAATATTTGGAAGTGAGTTTATTTGTGGGTTCAAAGCTACCTGAATTGTCTCTGCACTGATTTATATGTTGTCCACATATGAATCATGAATCATAAATCATGTAGGTCATCCGATCATCCTATGCGTCTAATCATTGGTAAAAACTCACCGTAATTACGCGGGATCGACTTGGACAGGTTTACGGTTTCCATGGTAGCTGATAACAGCACCTCAACCGTTAACCCACAATGCGCCCCCTCAATGCAAACACGCGTGTATGCCGAGCGCTGCCGTCAAGTCCTTGTGACGCGGTCCTGGCAGTCCCTTGGTCATGATGTCCGCCAACATAATCGTAGTCTCACAGTAATTTAAAGTGACATCACCACGCTTGACTTCATCACGAATGTGATGGTACTTGATGTCGATGTGCTTGGCCCGACCATGGTTCACAGGATTGTTCGTCATCTTGATGCACGATTGGTTATCTTCCATGATCTTGAGCTCGGGTCCAGACTTGTACTCTGCGGCATCCAGAATCTCGCACAGCAACTGCACCCACTTGCCTTCTTGAATCGTCAGACTTAGTGCAATGTACTCAGCTTCATTTGTTGACAGCGACACACTTTACTGCTTTATGCTTCCCCAGCTCAACGGAGCACCCATCAGGATGAACGCATATCCCGAAGTCGACTTGCGGTCTGCATGGTCGCCGGCCCAGTCTGCATCCGAGTAGCCGCAGAAGTCTATCTTGTCATCAGACTTGAAACAGATGCCGTGCGACTTAGTCACTTGAAAGTATCGCAAAATGCGCTTGACCGCCATCCGATGCTCGACTTGGGGGTTTCCACGAAGCACGAAACGTAACTCACAGCAAAAGCAATGTCCGGTAGTGTCGCGGTCATCAAGTGCATTAAAGCGCCTACAGCTTCATGAAACGGGGCGTCGATTTTGGTTGTGTTGACGGTCATCGGTTTCCTACCAGTATTAGTAACCGTGACCGGTCCAATCCGAACCGCCTGTTCAGCTTCGTATTTACGACGTAGTTCTTACGGTAATTACCATAGTTGATTAGACGCGTAGGATGATGAGACGCTTCACATGATTTTTATGTGCACCACATATAAATCATGTAGTAAGTAGCAAGCCCCGATAATCAATCACTTTCGAATTCTCCTTCTGCCGAGCAAGTCTTCTCTGCTCCGCTTCTCGAGCCTCTTCGCTCCCTCCGGTCTCTTCCGGTCTTCTCGTCACTCCCGTGTCATACCTTCAACAACTAGTAAGGGCGAAGTCAGGGAGTGACGTCATTGGATGACGTCAGCGGAATGACATCATTGCATGACGTCAGTGGATGACGTCACTGCGAATAATAGGCTTAGAGGTAGTATTCAAAGTTGCGAACTTAGTGCCTATTGTAAATACATATTCACTTTGCGTTTTGCACTCGGACCAAGAAGTCTAAAGTTCTTCAAGGTTTACGGTTTCCACGGTAGCTGATAATAGTACCTTAACCGTCAACCCACAACAGTAATGATCACCTAAGCTGCGTCTTAAGCATGCATCATGATAGTTTCGTTCGCTGCATAGGCAATGCTGCACGTCTACCAGCGCCTGAGCAACGCCCAGCACGCGTACCGACGTTGCTTCTCTTCGAGTTGAGGAACGATGTTGTCATCGATCTTGTGGAGACTGTGCGACAAGCAGATCACCCCTTTTTGTCCTCCATCTTCGCAACAATGCTTTTACTAAGAATTCTGTATATGGTAGAGAGCTGGGGCTATAATTCGAGCTTCAAGGTTTATTTTTACGGTATTGTTTTTGTGACGGTAATTAACTCATGATTGATCAGACGAGTAGACCGATTGGAAGGCCCACATGATTTATTAGTGGACCACATATAAATCAGGATTTAAGCAGAGAGAGATCCGATAGACCAATCACTTTCGAATCATCCTCCTTCCACACAAGTCGTCATCATTCGGTCCAGATTACAAGAGCAGAATTTCTTTGCAAAACCTTAGGCATCAGTTTCAGCATATCTACGTATCAGCAGAGTAGATGCGGCTAACTTCTTTGATCCACCTTATGGCGCCGCCAGGTGACTAGAAGATATAGGCCCCCTCGCCATTCTCAGCCACGTTTTGGTATGTGTTGCAGCGCAGTTGGAATACGATGTTGCTTGCCTATATATAGCATTCCACGGCACGACGGCTGAGATCGATTCTCGCGTGACACCACAAATGCCACACCGACTAAATAGAAAGTGTGCCGCGCGAATAGCAAGCCCACATCGCAAAGTGAAGTCTTTTATACTTGTCTATTGTATGTCAGTCGGAATTTGAAATCTGGTGGCGTCTGGCTTTGTACCTTACACCCTAGTGTATGGTGTGAGTATAGATATTCAAACAGGTTGTTTAAATGGAGTACGCAAAGTAAGACGCGCGAAAAGAATTAATGAATAGATGTCTTTATTGTGCGTTGTAATGGCTTGTAGGCACCCTGTTAAGATGTAACGAGCACTGGGCGAGAGAACGAAGCTTAAAGAACTTAAAAGAAGTCTACACTGCAAAGTGAAGACGACTTGTGTAGGAGAAGGAATATTTGGAAGTGAGTTTATTTGTGGGTTCAAAGCTACCTGAATTGTCTCTGCACTGATTTATATGTTGTCCACATATGAATCATGAATCATAAATCATGTAGGTCATCCAATCATCCTATGCGTCTAATCATTGGTAAAAACTCACCGTAATTACGCGGGATCGACTTGGACAGGTTTACGGTTTCCATGGTAGCTGATAACAGCACCTCAACCGTTAACCCACAATGCGCCCCCTCAATGCAAACACGCGTGTATGCCGAGCGCTGCCGTCAAGTCCTTGTGACGCGGTCCTGGCAGTCCCTTGGTCATGATGTCCGCCAACATAATCGTAGTCTCACAGTAATTTAAAGTGACATCACCACGCTTGACTTCATCACGAATGTGATGGTACTTGATGTCGATGTGCTTGGCCCGACCATGGTTCACAGGATTGTTCGTCATCTTGATGCACGATTGGTTATCTTCCATGATCTTGAGCTCGGGTCCAGACTTGTACTCTGCGGCATCCAGAATCTCGCACAGCAATCGATGCACCCACTTGCCTTCTTGAATCGTCAGACTTAGTGCAATGTACTCAGCTTCATTTGTTGACAGCGACACACTTTACTGCTTTATGCTTCCCCAGCTCAACGGAGCACCCATCAGGATGAACGCATATCCCGAAGTCGACTTGCGGTCTGCATGGTCGCCGGCCCAGTCTGCATCCGAGTAGCCGCAGAAGTCTATCTTGTCATCAGACTTGAAACAGATGCCGTGCGACTTAGTCCCTTGAAAGTATCGCAAAATGCGCTTGACCGCCATCCGATGCTCGACTTGGGGGTTTTCCACGAAGCACGAAACGTAACTCACAGCAAAAGCAATGTCCGGTAGTGTCGCGGTCATCAAGTGCATTAAAGCGCCTACAGCTTCATGAAACGGGGCGTCGATTTTGGTTGTGTTGACGGTCATCGGTTTCCTACCAGTATTAGTAACCGTGACCGGTCCAATCCGAACCGCCTGTTCAGCTTCGTATTTACGACGTAGTTCTTACGGTAATTACCATAGTTGATTAGACGCGTAGGATGATGAGACGCTTCACATGATTTATATGTGCACCACATATAAATCATGTAGTAAGTAGCAAGCCCCGATAATCAATCACTTTCGAATTCTCCTTCTGCCGAGCAAGTCTTCTCTGCTCCGCTTCTCGAGCCTCTTCGCTCCCTCCGGTCTCTTCCGGTCTTCTCGTCACTCCCGTGTCATACCTTCAACAACTAGTAAGGGCGAAGTCAGGGAATGACGTTACTGGATGACGTCAGCGGAATGACATCATTGCATTACGTCAGTGGATGACGTCACTGCGAATAATAGGCTTGGAGGTAGTATTCAAAGTTGCGAACTCAGTACCTATTGTAAATACATATTCACTTTGCGTTTTGCACTCGGACCAAGAAGTCTAAAGTTCTTCAAGGTTTACGGTTTCCACGGTAGCTGATAATAGTACCTTAACCGTCAACCCACAACAGTAATGATCACCTAAGCTGCGTCTTAAGTATGCATCATGATAGTTTCGTTCGCTGCATAGGCAATGCTGCACGTCTGCCAGCGCCTGAGCAACGCCCAGCACGCGTACCGACGTTGCTTCTCTTCGAGTTGAGGAACGGTGTTGTCATCGATCTTGTGGAGACTGTGAGACAAGCAGATCACCCCTTTTTTGTCCTCCGTCTTCGCAACAATGCTTTTACTAAGAATTCTGTGTATGGTAGAGAGCTGGGGCTACAATTCGAGCTTCAAGGTTTATTTTTACGGTATTGTTTTTGTGACGGTAATTAACTCATGATTGATCAGACGAGTAGACCGATTGGAAGGCCCACATGATTTATTAGTGGACCACATATAAATCAGGATTTAAGCAGAGAGAGATCCGATAGACCAGTCACTTTCGAATCATCCTCCTTCCACACAAGTCGTCATCATTCGGTCCAGATTACAAGAGCAGAATTTCTTTGCAAAACCTTAGGCATCAGTTTCAGCATATCTACGTATCGTCAGAGTAGATGCGGCTAACTTCTTTGATCCACCTTATGGCGCCGCCAGGTGACTAGAAGATATAGGCCCCCTCGCCATTCTCAGCCACGTTTTGGTATGTGTTGCAGCGCAGTTGGAATACGATGTTGCTTGCCTATATATAGCATTCCACGGCACGACGGCTGAGATCGATTCTCGCGTGACACCACAAATGCCACACCGACTAAATAGAAAGTGTGCCGCGCGAATAGCAAGCCCACATCGCAAAGTGAAGTCTTTTATACTTGTCTATTGTATGTCAGTCGGAATTTGAAATCTGGTGGCGTCTGGCTTTGTACCTTACACCCTAGTGTATGGTGTGAGTATAGATATTCAAACAGGTTGTTTAAATGGAGTACGCAAAGTAAGACGCGCGAAAAGAATCAATGAATAGATGTCTTTATTGTGCGTTGTAATGGCTTGTAGGCACCCTGTTAAGATGTAACGAGCACTGGGCGAGAGAACGAAGCTTAAAGAACTTAAAAGAAGTCTACACTGCAAAGTGAAGACGACTTGTGTAGGAGAAGGAATATTTGGAAGTGAGTTTATTTGTGGGTTCAAAGCTACCTGAATTGTCTCTGCACTGATCTATAGGTTGTCCACATATGAATCATGAATCATAAATCATGTAGGTCATCCAATCATCCTATGCGTCTAATCATTGGTAAAAACTCACCGTAATTACGCGGGATCGACTTGGACAGGTTTACGGTTTCCATGGTAGCTGATAACAGCACCTCAACCGTTAACCCACAATGCGCCCCCTCAATGCAAACACGCGTGTATGCCGAGCGCTGCCGTCAAGTCCTTGTGACGCGGTCCTGGCAGTCCCTTGGTCATGATGTCCGCCAACATAATCGTATTCTCACAGTAATTTAAAGTGACATCACCACGCTTGACTTCATCACGAATGTGATGGTACTTGATGTCGATGTGCTTGGCCCGACCATGGTTCACAGGATTGTTCGTCATCTTGATGCACGATTGGTTATCTTCCATGATCTTGAGCTCGGGTCCAGACTTGTACTCTGCGGCATCCAGAATCTCGCACAGTAATCGATGCACCCACTAGCCTTCTTGAATCGTCAGACTTAGTGCAATGTACTCAGCTTCATTTGTTGACAGCGACACACTTGACTGCTTTTTGCTTCCCCAGCTCACCGGAGCACCCATCAGGATG